ACGCTCCAACAACTCCACCAAAATGCGATAGACGTGGTGACCAGAGCAGTAGCGGATGGCTTCGTTCCACACCCAGCGGATCTTCTCCGGATACTTTCTGTGGATGTTGAATTCGAAGTTGGAGCAGACAGAGTTGTTTCCATGGCTCTCTCCGGCCGGCTCGTACACTTCCGTCCATATGACCTTGGTGCCGTCCGATTGTTCGATGCCCGGAGTCCCATTGCAAGTCAAGCCGGCAAAGTGTTGCTCATGCCGGGTCAGATGGACCTCGTAGGCGTGCGTCTGCCGGCGCCAGGCGGCCAGTCGGTACTTGAGGAAGGTGAGCAGCTCGACGCGCCGCCGGCTCAGTGCCCGCCAGTGCTGGGCGCTGACGCCGGCCGACCGGTACTCGGGACTCAGACTCAACGCGCCGAAACACCTGATCAGAGCCCTGCACAACGCACCACCAGACAAAGAGACGCCATACAGACACCATACAGATAGACAAGCGGGCTCGTCTGCAAATCTGCCCCGCCATAGCACAGCTGCCCTACGATTTATGCAATTGGCCGTCGTGGAAACCGGCCTCCGGGGCTCGAACTCTGCTCGAAGAGGAACTTGCTTCGAGCAGTCCCTTCGAGACGCAACAACCCCATGAACGCCGGACGGGTCCATGCAGAGCCGGCATTCCAGAAGCCACCTCAGCTCCCCTCGACCCCACCGGGACTCGACCGGCGATGGGGAACGTTGAAGGGGCAAAGTGTCGGCTGGCCTCACGTCCGTGCGTCGGCGGAAGAAGCAGTCGCCGACCGGCCCTGTCCGCCAAGGCCGGGCGGACTGAGGCTCGGGCCGGAAGCTGCGCGAAATCTCAAGCCAGTCGGCATGACGACAACGTGTGCCTCGAATTTGCATTCCGAAAGCAAAGTTGTCTGGAAGAAATTCATGAATTCGTCTCACTCGTCGTCTCGCGACTCTGATCGTCCGTCATGTGGCATGCATCGTCAGAATGAGAAAGCATCATTTCATATAAGAGCTGTATTCATTCTATCTCATGTCAGGTGACGAAGGAATGGTAGATGAATTTCACATGACCTTGGTTACTAAAAGCTATTCTCATCCCGGCTGGTCTTATCAGCATCCCTGGCGGGACTCGAACCAGGAGTCCTTTGGTTAGAGGGCAATGTGAATTTCGAGGAAGACTGAGCATTCTTTCATATCAAAATCATCCCCATAAACGAAATATGGTGCATACAGCTAACCTACTTATCAACATGAAGATGAAATCATTTTAATTGGCCACCTTTTTTATTTTGTTTGGCATATTGCTGGGCTATTTCGTAAAATAGGCGTTCTCATTCTGACGATATCTGCCACGATGGGACAGACGAAAGCTCAGCACAGATTCTTTTAATAATGGCAGGATGCTGAGCCGAGTACATCTTTGCAATCGTCTTTCGGTTTCCGGGGAGGCCAATTCACGAATTTCTTCCAATCTTACTTTTCCTTCTAAACGAAAAGTCGATATACATATTTATTTATTTATTTATTCATTTATGCTTAGTATATTTTAGTCTGTGCGACCGGAACCACATGAATAGACAAACATCGAGGGGCCAGAC